AAGGGTAACTGTGCATGAAGGTCTGTGGTGGTATGTGGGTCATTGTTCCAGCTGCTAAAGCGCTTTGACTTTCTCTTTTATTACCGCCACACTTTCTTCTGCTGCTATAGCCCATGTGTAGGAATTGTAGTATGAAAACACAAGTGACCTCAGTGCGTCACAGGAAGGTGGAGGAGGAAAGTGTGGACTGCCATTAAGCGAGCTCTTGATGGCTCCTGAAGGAGCAGTAATTGAAATGTGAGATTTCTTTGTGCTCCTGTTACTGCAGGAGGGAAATCATGCTACTGTGGCCTGCCTCCATCTGGCAGTCAGACCAATGAATAAGCTTGATAAATGCTTGTGTTTCAGTTTGTTAGCACTAGAGAAAGTGAAGACAAGTGTCTTACTTTAAGGTGAAGATGCAACATCCTCCAGTAACATATAACAATAACCTTAAAGCTGATTCCTGAAATGACAAATGCATGTACACGACTGGACATTTGCTTGGTATATAGATATTTCTGTTAATATCAGCATGATAAATACTATGCTTAAATAATTTTAAATGACTGAAAGAGTTAAAAAAGGTTGCCCTTTCAGCCCATTCCTGTTTACTTCACTTTGGAAGTTCTTACACTTGCATTAATACATTCTACCTACAAGCACATGCAAAGTTCAGCAACACTAATATTGTTTTTTCACACTTGTTGAGTTGTTGTTCCCAACCCAACAGCCAATTCAAATCATTTATCATCTCATCACATCCATTCCAATTGTCTGCAGCTAATGTGAAGCAGAACTTATCAGCATTGAAACTCACTGTCATGCAGATGCAAACACAGCACCTCGTCTCATCAGCTGAAATCCCCCCCTCTATATCCTCCCCTCTCCCCCTTTCCCTCTTTTTCCAAACCACTGAGGATGTGAGCTCACAGTGGATGGGAGGACAGACAGGAAACGCGACTGCAGTTTATCACCCATATACAGGAAAAACTGCTTCAAACTGCTCAAATGTGAATGGAAAAGGGGAAAAATATGCACACCAGGCAGGCAGTATCACTTAAAGGCCCTGAAAGCCAATTGTCTCAATCAGCTTCTTACTGTGAGCGACAGGATCCTACTGGACATGAACACAAACGTTTCTGCCGAAGCAAGAGAAATTCTAGGTTTTTCACATGAGAGGTTTCAATATTTGTGTGTTATGTCAGTGCTCTCCTCATTGGTTTGAAGTAGACAGTCCGGAATTTGCAATAATCGAATCAAAATCTGATGACAGCTGTGCAGTTGTTTCACTGTGCAACATACAGAGGCCTAGGACCCCCTGTAGACGTCACAATTAAGCTAATTATTTTCTATTAACTTATGTGGTCTATACTGTTTCTGCTGCAGCTGTTGGTGTGGATACCTGCAAACTTATAACAGGGCTGCAACTTGATTGATGATTATTGTCATTATTGATTAATCTGTTGATTATTTTCTCAATTAATCCACTCTTTATTTGTTAAAAAATGATGAAAAATATTGATCAGTGTTTCCCAAAGCCCAAGGTGACGTCCACAACTCAAAGATATTCAGTTTACTGTCACAGAGGACTAAAAACGTGAAAATATTCACATCTGAAAAGCTAAAATTGATAAATCTAACAGTCGACAACTAATTGATCAATCGACTAATTGTTGCTCTAGTTAATATAGATTAAATATTACTTATAATAATTAGTTCTTAAACAGTTCTTAAATCTCAGAAGAAAATAAGGGTTTGGATATCTCTGCTGCTATATCTCACTATATAAACTGTGCAGCTCACTGCTGTCAGAAAAGCAGACATGGTCAGTTAACAGTTACCCTATCATGTCGCAAGATTTAAATAATTAATGAAGGTATCTGCACTGTGCCAGCTGTGTGTAATATTACACACAGTTTTGGAGAGGTGTGAGAGTGTCTCTCAGCCGTTTCACAGGCTTTAAACAGTAGGCGGAGCTTCAAAGTGTGCTTCAAGACGTCTACATGTAGAGAGTATAACAGCTTAATGTGTGTAGATCTGTGTGTGGCTAAATCTAAGCCTATAAAACCCTTAAAATAGATTACACTTCTCTGGGGCAGTGCTGCATGGCAAATACAAATTGAAAATATCTCTGTGGAAATGAGAATCCTTCTTCTTTTCGTTCTAGTCCCGTCACTGAAATGAGGGAAGACAACTGGCAAGAGGCTGCGCAGGGCTACATAACTGCCACAGCAGGCGGCTCAGCTCTCTCCCTCAGCTCCTGAAAGTTATCCTCCCACCTCTACGACTCCCCTCCTAATCCACCCCTCTCCAACTTGGCTGTAATCCTCTCATTCCTCCCATCTTTATCTCCCTCCCTCAACTCTCTCAGGTTTCCTCTCTCCCTTGTGCCTCCATCCCTCCTTCTTCGCTTTGACCCCGGAGAGTCAGCGAAGCGAGTGGAGAGGGGAGAGCGCGAGGGGAAGTCGACTAATATGGTAAAAATCAAAGGAAGGCACTTTAAAGGAGGTTAAAGTGGGTGACCCCCTTCTCTCTTCGTCTCACTGAAGCCCAGTAAAGTCAGTGTAAATACAGTAGGAACTGGACTTTGCAGGGCCAACTCACATGAACAACTTCACATAGTAAAAAGAGCACTTTGGGGGCTTAAACTCACATGTACACAGCAGTCATAAGACAATCCATACCCCCTGTCATGCAGCCTCCTGTTTCCCTATCAGCCTTCATTTTTGATTGGCACCTTCAAAATAGCTCAGCACTATCTTGGCTAAGCTCAAGGATCGGCAAGTATGCAAGCACTCGGTGGCCTCTGCCAAGACGCTGTGAAGATTCCCTGGAAAGGAAGGAAGAAGGAACCTTCCTGTGACAGCCCACTGAGCGGATGGTTATCCACATCAATTGAAAGAAAACAAAGAAAGAAAAGATAAAAACAACAGAGTCCAGCCCTGGTGTTTGGATAACCACAATGTCAAGCTGCTCCGGTACTCGGAGACTGGTGAGCAGCTTCCTCCGGGCCGAGGTGCTCCGGAGAAGTCAGAATAACAAGGAGTGTGTGTGTGGTAATATGTATTGGTGGGGAGCACTGGTGAGGCCGTGTGGGTGGAAGTTTGTATGTCTTCTTGTGCATGCATGCGTGTGTGCATGTGTGGGTGTCTATTTGTGACACATACAATGCAGCAGGACCACACAGTCCTTCTGGTATGTGGGATTTCCAGGTTCAAAATAGGCCCAAGTGTGGGAGGAGGGCAGGAACAAACAGCAGAGAGAGGGGGAGAAGAAGAAGAAGAAGAAGAAGAAGAGGGAGAAGGGAAGGAGGACGGGGACGACACATGAAGTGTGTGGCAACTGAGGCAGAATTTTCATTTTCATCTGTGTTCAGCCAACCCACCTGTCAGCACGGGGAAGTTTCTGTGGTTTACTGAAATGGGAGGTGTTACGGTATGACAGATGGAGAGCCGCCAAGACTGTTAAATTGCAACTGTTAACACGTGGGATTACAGTGTAGAGGAAGGAAAGCGGGGCTGCAACCATACAAACTTACAGGGAGATTTAAACAATCTTCCACTGTGGCCATGTAGGAGCTGAGGGGCCATGACATTCAATACAAACTCCTACAGTGCACCCAAACATTGTTCAAACCTGCAGAAACACTTAAATTCTTAAATTCTGTTTTGGGGAAATTTGTATAAAACAATGCACAAGAAATCTAGATTATTTCCATCTGATGGAACAGTGCAGCCATTAAAACATGCAGTGTTAGGTTTGAATACTTCACTCAGTGTAAACATCATGTAGCTTCAATAAATACCTGGAACGAGCTGATACAGAACATATACGATACTGACAGATATAAGGAGACTCTTTTCAACCTTAAAGGGGCATTTGTGTAGTTTAATTAGCGCTGGTAAGGTTCGGGACACTCACAAGTTACAAGTGATTTAAAAAAGAATGCTTTAAATTGAATCTGTAAAGGGTCCTACTATTCAGTACGTCTCCAAAAACACTAGATCCTACAACTCCCATGATGCAATATTTAGTTAAAACTTCAAACTCCATGTCCTTGCTTCATAACACAAGATTTCATTTAAAAATCTCAGTATTACTATTATTATTATTATCAGTTACAAGGACCCTTAAAATAATTCAAATATAAGGGTCTCTTTGTTGAAGAGATGCTTGGTTATAATTTCAAAAAATATAATTCATTTTTTAAAATATTTTTAAATAGCATTAATGAGGAAATTCAGTACTGTAGATAAGCAACTGTACACAGCATGACACAAATTTCATATCCAGGTACTGGTACACTGCAACCCCTCTTAAAACTAATCTGAGATAACAGCCCATGACTTAAGAGAGTACCCTTCAGAGCCACAGAGTACAGCATTAACAGTTTACACAGGCTGAATAGACTCCTCCAGACAGGTAAACTGAGTGTCCCTTTAAAGCCACTTAAGGGGAAATAACAGTGGAAAACTTAATGTTCAGGGGTTTAGTCACATGTGCCTAAGATGAAGGATACGAGAAAAGTGCAAGGCTCCAACTAGAAGATGAGCATCTACTTTGTGTTGTACTTCATCGTTAGAATATTTGTTTAAGTTGAGCCTCTAATGCACTGAGAACTATTAGTCTATAGACGATCAGTTAGACCAAATAATTTACAGGACACATCCATAAAGTTGTGTAATCTGATCAGAGAGCTGGTCAAATATGTTTCTAATGTGCTCTGTGTAAAAACACGTGTGCTGTATGAAACAAGTCACAAGCACAGTGAGCTAACCCAACAGCAGCATAGCTGAGCAGTGTATCAGCCGCTGTGTGAGTCACCTGTTGCGCCTGGCTGTTGTCGGCTCTCCGGAGAGCCGTGCGTAACGTGCTGGAAGGAAAGTTTCCCAGGCTCATTACGACTACAGAGCCCAGGTTTGCTTTTAAATACATACACAGACTGACATTAGTGAGCGGCGTAGTGAGCTCGGTGTACAGGCAGAGTGTCAGTGAAGTTTAGGATCTGCGTAACTCACCGGCAGTCCCGGACTCCAGCAGCAGCGCCGTAAAGACACAGACGGATAAAGCCCCCTGTAAAGATAAAGAACCGCGCTGAGCCTCCATGTTTGTGCGTCCGCAGATCCTCAGTCACATTAAAGGTCAAACCAGCGAGAGTCCAGTGGAGGAATGAGTTTGGTGTGTCCGCTGTCCTGTGCGCTCCACTCCGCTCAGCAGCTGGAGAGTCACTGCTGAACCATCCATACACACACACACACTCACACACACTGTATACACACAGTGCTCTGACAGGAAACCGGAGGAGGGAGGGAGAACTCTCTCTCTCTCTCTCTCTCTCTCTCTCTCTCTCTCTCTCGCTCGCTCTCTCTCTCCCTCTCTCTCTCTCTTTCTCTATGTGTGTGTGTGTGTGTGTGTGTGTGTGTGTGTGTGTGGAATTACCTATCCAAATACTTGAAATGGGAACAGTAAACAGCTCTGTATACATTTACATAAACTCCAGCTTTCTGAAATATCACAGAGCTTCTACAGATTTCCAGAAAGTGTAGACTTACAGCTAATAGACAGCTGGAGAAACAGCTTCACATACACTTAATTCATTAATAATTTGCCTCACAATTTACAAAAGAGAGTAAAATGCCCATATCGGCCTACTAACTGCTTATCAGCTTTAGACCTACTTTAAGTGGCAAAATATACTTGGTACATTCTGAAGGTATGACTAATAACAATAAAGTGCCCAAAATGACTCTTTACTATAAACTTAACCATTTTCACTACCAGGACTATAGTCACCACTGAGAACATTGACATTGTCCGTGGTTTCTTTCTAGGAATTTGAGGGACATTCTTAATTTTAAAAATGTACAGATGGTTGGGATTTTTTTAGGCCGATTCCAGGAACTAATTTTTATAGTCAGCATTAAATGTGAATATATTTAGGCCAGTAGAAAAACACCCAGGAAAAATTCAATATTTCTTAAAAAATTTTGGCAATCTAGCTTATAGTTGTTGTCTCAGTGTGGTTGACCGACAGGCTGACCCTGCCATCCATAGAGCCATACCACTAGTATGGCTATAAAGAAAATCTAAACAAACGGTGAACTAACAAGTCAAAATGAAATATCAAAACTCCAAATAAATAATGTTGGAGACCTCCTTTTTGCTGTCTAGTCATAACCTTTGGGGTAGGAGGGTTGAATTAGGGAGACTTCGATTCACCGCAGCATTTCTAAAGTCTCATATGGTTCTGTTCACAGTATGTATTAGAAATACACTGTTAGACACAATAATAAACACAAGTCAAAATATAATACAGTTCAATACAATTTGAGTTAACACCTGCAGGACACAAGCTCAACAAACAAAAAAATAACATTATGTGTTTGATAAAGGTAACATTTATGGCACGGTTATTATCATATGTACAGTATATAATATAGTGTCATTGTACAGGTGTTCCTTTGTTGTCATGTCAAATGTTGAATTACTTTTCTTTAGAGCGTTATATTTTTTTATAAATATGGATCCCTGTATTATGAACGATGATTGTAATAAACTTAATCTAATTAAACTTTTACTTATATATCTCAAAGCTACAAATGACAGGGAGAATACAAAGTTTCCCCATGTCACTGCTTTTCATTTTCCTGGGCTGAGTGGCTGCTTTAATCTAAAATGATACTGTACACATAAGGAGCAGTTGGGACACTGCCTACCTCTGTGTGTGTGGGTGTGTGTGCGTGTGTGTGACTGACGAGCTTGCTGACTGATGAGTGGCAGTGATCTGTATGACAGCACAGAAACTGAGCCCAGTGACAGAGAGATAATAAAGCTGAGCCTGTCTGTCTGCTCATATGAGGCAGCAGGTCTGGACATGCTGCTCTCTACCAACACTGGAACTGAGCCACACACTCTCTAGAGTCTCACAGCCCCCGTCGACCCCTCTCCTCACCAGTCCTCTGGAGTCCAGCTCTGAATTCAGCCGGTAGGGTCAGGGCCCCAGCGGGTCGGAGCTCTGTTTGTTTTCGGGTCCCACATGACAGCCGTAGTAGAATATGTTTTATAGCCTGGGACTACAAATAAACCGAGTTTGGCTTTATGTCTAAAAAATAAATCCTTTTTTAAAAAGTATGGAGATGGGAAACTCTGGGATTTGCAACATAAGATAGTATCCAACAGTGTTCTCAAGTGAACTGTTGTTAATTCTACAAGGTGATTCACAGATATTCAAAGATATTCAATTTGCAGTTAGATATACATTTTTGTCTTAAGCATTCCTTATGACAACTCAGGAAATTGTGCACCTTTGTAGGTCTGGCCATATATCTATTATGACAGTCACTGCACTCATTGCTAAGATACGAGATTGCACAATTCCCAGCTTTCCCCAGGGCATCTCAAATACAAGTGATCTGCTAGATTTAACCCCCTAACATCCAGTTTTTCCCTTTTATTTCACCTTAGGCAGATTTAATTATCACATTCTGGTGCATCGTCACCTCGGATTAAAGTCCCCCTCTGTTCAAAAATCTGTTGTTTAAGTTTGAGTTTCACTGTGCATAAAAAAAAAATGTAAATTTAAATTTATTAGGTAGAAGAGTAGATAACTTTTTAAGGACTTTAATGTGGAAATTTTACTTTTTTTTTGTTGAGACACATTATTGTTCCAAGTAGATTTGTATTTTTTACCCAAGACTACAGGCATCCTTCTATCAAATGGAAATATTTTAGAACAAAACAATAGAATACCCCATGCATTATTTTGTACTTATTTCCCCAAAAAACAGGTGGGATGTCATCTCTAATTTGAACACATCCATCCATCCATTATCTATACCACGAGCTTATCTTTTGTAGGATTGTGCGGTGTTAAGCCAGTCAGAATGCCAGTCTGATAAATAGGGAAATAATATTACAACCTGCAAAAACCTACAAAGGAGCTCATACAGCCATCAATCCTGTTACATGCCAAGCAGGGTCTGTAGTGTTTTTTTCCTGCTTCTCTTTCTCTGCCTCTCCCCTGTGTTCTCTCCACGTGCTAACAGGGATAACTGATTTCCCCCTGTGCAGTCTGGCATTGCTGCTCATTGGCTGAACAAGTCTGAAGCTGGCCAATCATCATGCAAGCCCTCAAAATAAGCCGCCTGCCAGAGTTCACCCTCTCTGAGATTGACTCTGCTGTTGCTGTTTGACAATTTAGAGTCACCAATTAACCCGTTAACCTGCATATCTCTGGACAGTGGGAGGAAGAAGAGGAAACCCACACAGAAACAGGGAGAACATGCAAACCCCACTCAGAAATGCACAGGAGGAACACAATGAGAATGAATAAGCAGGATGAGTAATTCAATTCAATTCAATTCAATTCAATTCAATTATTTATTTGTATAGCGCCAATTCATAACAGAAGTTATCTCAGGACACTTTTCAAGTAGAGCTAATGTAATGACTAACTCAGCATATCATCTGCATTTCTGAAGAAGTCTGATTTAGCCTCCATTATCAGACACCACTTAATTTGGAATAGAAATGGAGGTGAACATAGCGGTGGCGGCTGCCCATCTGCATCCTGATGATGACCATCTTTAAAAACATTTAAACATTTAAAAATGGCTCAGTCATTTCCAAAACAAGCTGATCACTGTAGTTGCTCAAACAGGAGGAAAGTAATTTTTGTTGGTAACTATTTTCAGCTATGGTTTAATAAACATTTGGTGCTCTTTTTAAGACTTGGGGCAGCAGGACAGTGTGTGGGATAGAGTTAAAATAAACTACAGTTCGTGTGAACAAGTCTCCCAGTGCAACAATGGAGCTCTATGGCACAGAGGAAGAAGATCAGGCTTTGATACACACACAATCATGAAAAAATAATTTTCTGACAAAACAGAACAGGAACAATTTCACAACGGTAACAACAGAAGTTTTATTTTGTATGTCCAGAAATGACGCTACAGGGATACCTACAGCATCATACTTGGAAGCTTTTCACTATATCTTGACAGTAGTACATGAGCCAGATAATCTATGCAAATATCTGGTTCCTCTGGCTCTAGTGCTCCTAGTGGCGTTTGCAGGAATCTACTGGGCCTTGACAAAAACAATCAATCAGAGTCGAGAAAGATATAAAGATGCTTTGGGTTGGAGGCTCGAAGATAGTTAACTGTTGAGTCTCATTCCCAAGTCCCTGGGAAAAAAGCTCAACAATCAACTATCTTTAATAAAATTACTTGCTGCAGCTTTAATTCACGCCCACTTTGTATGTACAGCAAGTGTACATACTGTGCTGAAACATAATACATTCCAGTCTCAAGTACCTACAGCTGACACCCAAACCATGAGGATGGAAATACACAAATGTGAACCCTTGGCAGCCGGAAAAAATCCAACAAATGCTATCTCTGACAACCACACTGGATCTCCTTATGTGCCTGAATTGGTAAATGATACAATACTGTGCACTATAAATCTCACTGACCGCTGACTAATGTGATTGATGATAATTGCTGATGGAGGGGAGTAGGCAGGGGTTGCTGCAACATTATATCAGAACTCTGTTGTCAGTCAGAGAATCTGAAACCACAGAACGATTTATATCCCTGAAGCTTCGAGCAGTGGATACAGCCGGGGTCATAACTGGGACACTGAGATCATGGGTGTTATGGGATGAATTCAAGTTCCAAATTAGGAGGCTTTTAGTGCTAAATTGGTTCCCGAGAGCTAAAATGATGTAAAGGATGTGTCACTGTGTGTGTAATGTGCTCATTATTAATTCCAACTGTCAACACCAGCAGTTGTCCGTCTCTAACAAGCCCAAAGAGCTCCATACAGGACCATGTATACTGGTAAACACCTGCCAACTGACTTCATTAACTCTGTATTCTCCATCAGATCAAGTTGTTTATGTTTGTCACGTCTTTGCTGTACGCGATGGTTAACATCCAGAAGTTCTCCGGTCCGTTGTGTGAGACGCTCTTTGCCAGGGGAGTTTCACAATAATGGAAACTTGGACACAGATGGGATGGACTTTTTGCTGTTATGTTGGCTGAGCAAGCTATTAAAAGAATATTTTATTTTGATTCATGTGGTGTCTGTTTTGTTTCTTTGGCCCCAGGAGACGTATAAACAGATACACCATGTTTCGGGGGACTGGCTCTGGGACAAAATCCTCCATGTAGTCCCCTCTAGCTCATTTGCTCAAGTGCTGCAAGTTAATTCTTTTTTATTGAGGGTATTATAGACTTTATATTATAGACAGAGGACAGAGTGTTTGATAAT